AGAGGTTATGGTGTCATGACAGCATATAGTAGGAGCTTTCACCTAATCAAGGAGGATCACTAGGCTGAGATCTAAAAGATGACTATGCCAAGAAAAGAGGGAAGCGTGGTCTAGACAGAGAGAACAGCATATGCAAAGATCGTGTGGCTGTGTAGTGAGAGAGTGTGGCAGGTACAAAGGACTGAGAAGGGCGGAGTTTGTCTGGAAAGCTGGTGGATATGAGGCTAAGAGGTCACTAAGGGCCTGACCACGTAGAATCCTTCTAGACATTAAACGTTTTTTCCTTATTGAAGAGAAGTGAGGAGCCATTGAATGTTTGGGGCAGAGGGAGAGGGGAATGACCTGATGAGATTTCTGTTTTGAAAAGATGCCCCCAGCTGCAGTGTGAAGAATGGTGGGCAAGGACCAGAATAAATGTGGTTGACCAGTTAGGAGTCACTATGGGAGTCCAGGGAAGAGCTTGGTGTGGGGTGGGGGAGGTGTAGACAGAGACTGGGTGGTAGATTGGCCGTGGGGATGTGAAGGAGAGGAAGGTGTCAGCTTCTAGGTGGGCCTTATTTATTTACTTATTTTTATTTATTTATGTCTTGATCCAAAACTCTTTATAATAACTTTATTTTAAAACTGGCTTTGTGTTAGATGATTTTGCCCAACTGTAGATGAATGTCAGTTTTCGGAGCATGTTTAAGGTAGGATAGGCTAAGCTATGATGTTCAGTAGGTTAGGTGTATTAAACACACTTTTAACAATATATTTTCAACTTACGTTGGGTCTATGAGGAATGTAATCCCCTCGTAAGTCGGGAGCATCAGCACTGAAAACCACTACAGATCTATTACGTGAAATTCTAAAAAAACTTGAAGTAACTCACAGGAAGGCAAGTAAAAAATGCAAAATAACAGCAAATACAAGAGAGGAACAATAAAAAGGGAACACAAACAAAAATCAAATCATAAATGGCAGACTTAAGCCCTAACACATCAGTAATTATTTTTAAATCTAAATGGTCTAAATATACGAATGAAAAGACAGAAATACGCAAAATGGATAAAATAGCATGGCCTGAGCTCACAGGAAATTTACTTCCAATGTAATGATATGGGTAAGGCTTAAAATAAAATGATGAAAAAATATAAGCCATGCAAAGATTAACCAAAAAATGCAAGAGTGACTGTATCGGTATCGGATTAAGTTTTGACAAGAGTATTGGCAAGGGGGAAAAGAGCATTACAAGATGATGAACGAGTCGATTCACCAAGACTTAGCAAACTTATATGTGTACATTGCAAACGGTAGAGCTTTGAGTTACGTGAAACGAAAAGTGATAAAACTTCAAAGAGGGACAGATAGTTCCACAATTATAATTCAAGACTTCAACAGCCCTCTCTCAGCAACTGGCAGAAATACTAGACAGAAAATCAGCAAGGTGGATGGGCCTTATGTGGACAAAGAGATCAGGCACCAGTCCATTCACTGAGGGGCAGCAGTGGAGGACAGAGTGGCGGGGGCATGTCGCAAGCCTGAGCATCCCAGAGGAGGTGTCAGGCCTGGGGCCCAGAAGGGAGGTCTGGCCCGGACTGCGACGTCGTGAGTCATCTGTGCACAAGAGGGGAGGTCCTCCTCTAGACTAGAGAGAGGGGGAGAGGCCCCGACTCTGAGCCGGAAGGAGGCAGAGAAAGAGCAGTGGCGGGAAAGGAGTGTGGCGACATGGGTGGAAGCCCCAGGCGCTGCCGCTCACAGTGTGGTCCTTGCAGCAGGACCGTTGCATCGCCAGGGAGCCAGGTGGACACGCAGACTCTCCAGCCCCACCCAGGTGTCCATCTGTGTCCCCATCTGAGCCAGATCCCCAGGTGGTGCGCGTGCAGAGTGAGGTCTGAGATGCTCTGGGTGGAAGGAGTGTTTCCAGAAGGCAGGTGGGCAACAGTATTGGAGGTGTCTGAGCGGTCAGTTAACATGAAGATGGAAAAATATCCCTTCGGCGACCTTAGCAGACCTGTTTGGGTGGATCTCTAGGACCAGAAGGCAGAACCGATGGGGCTGGAGAGTGAGTGGGAAGTAAGGAAATGGAGACAGAAAGTATAGACAGATTGTGTTTTCTATAAATCTGGCTGTGAAGGGGAGGAGAGAGAGACAAGGCTGGGGGGAGATGAGGAGTGGAGTGGGGAATTGTTTTCTTAATGATCCTGAGCACATTTAAAACGAGAAGTTTCCAGGAGAGAGGAAATGACTGAATGCATACCAGAGAGAAACGAGATCATAGAAGGTTCTCGAAGAGTAGGAAGGAATGGGATCTGAGGGGCACGTGGAAAGATTCCGTCTAGATGGAGAGAGAAGTGGGTCCTCTGTAGGAGGAAGGAAGACAGCACGGGGCAGGCTGGATGGATTTGGAGTTGGGAAGACAAGGCAATCCTCACTGATGGCTTTTATTATATTTTCTATGGAGAGCGGGAGGGGAAGACATTAGCTGAGATCAGGAGGCTGCATGCAGACAACGGAGAAGGTTTGAAATTGTCATTCTAGTGTTTAATGTTGTGAAGGAGAAGTCTGAGTTTAGGCTGGTATTCGTTGCTTTTTAGTTTAAACTCTCTGAGGCTTAGTTTTCTACTGCACAGAGGTGCTCTGAGGCTTGAATAAAATGATACGCAATCGATCACCGTGTCAGTGCACAGCACACAGCACACAGCAAGGTCACAGTCAGTGTTAGCCACCCGTCTTGGCTCCCTCTGCGCCAAGCACAGGGCCGGCCCGTAGGAAGCACGTGGAAAAAAGTGGATGAATGATTCTCTAACGATTTGCTCCCGTCTCTCTGGAAGCTTGTAGAAGTTCTTCTGCCTACACTGAACTGCTGCCTTTCTCTCTCCCAGGCCAGAACTGCACGTTTCAACTGCACGGCCCTAATGGGACGGTTGAGAGCCCAGGGTTCCCGTATGGCTACCCCAATTATGCCAACTGCACGTGGACCATCACGGCGGAGGACCAGCACCGGATCCAGCTCGTGTTCCAGTCCTTTGCCCTGGAAGAGGACTTTGATGTCCTGTCAGTGTTTGATGGTCCACCCCAGCCAGAGAACCTGCGAACAAGGTACCACCCTGCCCGCCCTCCTGTAGCAGACAGCTGGGCTCTGAGCCAAGCTTACCTAGAGGAAGAACTTGCTTGGGTGAAAGGTTTATGGTCACCGGCAAAGACTGCTGTTTTTTTGAGGCCTTCCCTCAATTCCTCTGCTTTCTTTGAGTTTCCCAACTCCTTTCTCCTGCTTAGAGGTTTCCAATAGGCAGGATTGTTGAGTAGGTCATTTGGGAAGACTAGATAGAAAACATCCCAGGGTTCTAGAGAAATCCAAGTCTTTCTACTGAAACTGATTTTGCATGCACAGTTGTATATGTGGTTGTACCTGCTGGTGTGTGTTGTTTGCACACACGGAAATACAGGCTGGACCCAGAAGATGTGGGGATTGAAGGCTGATAGTGATGGGTAGTGAACACGTCCTGCATCATGTATTCATCAATCACCATCCATCAATACTTTGCTGGAATTTGCTCCACATTTGCAGGGCCTTGGCTGTGGGTGTAGAATCTGGAAAGTTCCCACCCTCTCAAATTCCATCCCAGTTGATGGAAGAAAAAACTGTGGATTGGGTGAGATGGCTTCTTGTACCCCGGACCTGCCTCCCAAGGTGGGGGGTTCACACATGAGGAGGGAGACAGGGCTGGAGCTTCCACCCTCTGCAGAAAGGGCAGACTTTTCTGGGGCAAAGGTGAAGGCCCCAGCATTATAGCTTTCCAGGTGTTGCTGACCCAGAGGCCTGCCGTGCTCCATCACAAGCCTTGTTCCTGTCCTGTCAGCCAGGCTCCCCAGCTCCTCAGGAAGCCAAAGGGTTAATGGCCTACCAGCCAAGCCCTGGGGAGGCAGAGGTGCTAATTGCTTCTAATGACCTGATGCACTAATGAATGGTTCCCTGCCAAGTGCTTGACCTCAAAGCTTTGTTTAAGAGGTGTCTGGGCCTTTGGCTTCCCAGCTCCTGGAACAGGGTCATGTGCACATTTACTGGACAGCTCCTAGCCCTCTTCTCCTCCCCGTCCCTGTCCTCTCAGGGCAGTGCAGAGGCGAGTTTGGGAAGTCTGCTGCAGGGGTGGGGGCATCTGCGGAACTGCTGTCTAGTAGTTTCTCACAGGCAAGACTGGGCTTATCCATCTTCCCTTGATGTTCAGTGGGGTTTGGCACTCCATAGGTGCTCTGAGAACCTTCGGTAAAGGGATTAGTGTCCTCTTCAGTCACTCATTCCACACGTATTTCGTGAGTACCTATTATGTCCCAACACAGGCCTGGGTACAGCATTGAGCAAAACAAAGGCACTGCATTCATGGAGGTGACATGCTAATGGGCAGACAGGCATGGAAGTATCTGTCATGTCTGTGTTCTAGATGCTATAAAGACAAAGCATGTGGGGTAAGAGAGTGATGGTGGGGGCATTGGTTTTCCTAGGATGGTCAGGGAAGGCCTTTCTAAGGGGGAGACGTTTGAGCAGAGAGCTGAATCATGGAGTGTCATGTATGGTGTCCTGTGGAGAAAGCTTCTAAGCTAAGGGCACAGACAATGTAGAGGCCTTTGGAGGGTGGTCCCGTCATGGCATAGCCCATCCTGGCCAAGCCAGCCTTGTAGATGAGGGGGACTTGCAGTTTTGGAGGCCTCATTCTGGGTTATCCCAGGTGTCACCTCTATGATCTGCTATTTGAGTCCATCTCACAAGTAGATGAGGGAAGGCGGGAGGCCAGTGGCTATGGGCCAGAGCAGAGCCCGTGGATGGGAATCCTGCAAGGGGAAGGTGAGGCTGGGAGTGGGTAGGAGGTAGTAGATCCTGCAGGGCCTCATTAGCCATGTAAAGACTTTGGCCTTGGCCCTGAGGTAAACAGGAAACCCTTGGAGAGTTCTGAGCAGGGGAGAAATCTGCTTTCACAGATCTTTGGCAGCTGTGGGGAGGGTGGAGGGAAAGGGGTGAGGCTGGAGGCTACCCAGGTGGAGGCTGCAGTAATGGTCCAGGGCAGAGAAGGAAGAGGTTTGGGCTCTCTTGGAAGTGAGGAGCTGGTAAGAGATGGTCAGTTCTGGGCTGTATTCCAAACACACAGTGGACAGGGTTTTCTGTTGCACTGGGTGAGCAGTATGAGGGGCAAGGGGGCCAGGATGACCCCAGTCTCTTTGGCCTTAATGTCTGGTAGAAAAAAGTAGCTGTGGAGCCAGGTGCAGTGGCTCACAACTGTAATCCTTGCATTTTGGGAGGCTGAGGTGGGAGGATTGCTTGAATCCGGGAGTTTGAGACCAGCCTGGTCAACATAGTGAGATCTCATCTCTACAAAAGATTTTTTAAAAATTAGCAGGGAGTTGTGGCACCTGCCTGTAGTCCCAGCTACTCAGGAGGTTGAGGCAGGAGGATCACCTGAGCCAGGAGTTCAAGGCTGCAGTGAGCTATAATTAGGCCACTGTACTTCAGCCTGGGTGATAGAGCAAGACCCTGTCTTTAAAAAAAAAAAAAAATAGCTGTTTCCTGAGATGGGGACAGCTATGGGAGGAGCATATTGGCAAGAGATGGGGTGGGGGCTGGAGGTTAAGATTTCAGTTTGGCCATATGAAATTTGAGGTGCCTATTAGATACCCAGGTGGACCTGTTGAACGTCCACTTGAGTGTGAGTTTGAAGTTCAAGGGTGTCGGGGCTAGAGATAATACATTGGGAGGCTGGGACAGGATGGTGCTTAAAACCATGAGACTGAATGAGGTCACAAGGGAGTGAGTCCTCTCTGTCAGATTTTGAGCTCAGGTGACACGGTCTATGGGGCAGCTGCGTAAACCTCTGGTGATGTGGAATCAATGTTGAAAGTCAAAGCAGGTCACCCGGGCACTTGGTTGAGGTGTGGACAGCTGGAGGCGGACTCTCCAATCCTGCCTGCCGGAGTTATTCAAGCTTTCCTTGCTCTTCAGGCGGGGTCCCCACAGATGTGGTCAAGCCTCTGCTTTCTGACACTTGGGTTTTCTGACACAGAGGGGGACATATAGAAGACCCAGCAGAGTGGGCACTTCTCTGGCCTGTGTTCGAAAGCATGGATGGTGGGGGTTTCCACGACCTGGGGAAGTGGTCCTGGCAGGGGAGGCTTCCTCTTGTTCTGAGGATGCAGAAGGACTTGGATGTATTCCCAGCCCCTGCACAGGCCGCTCCGGCCGACCAGCCACGTCTGAGGAGGTTGTCCCTGTTTGGGCTCCTAATCTCCATCATCTTTGTGACTGTCTCATTCCAGTTCATTGCACAAGTAGTCAAGGACATGCAGGCTCGGCCAAGGGGAAGGGCTGGAAGGAGCCCACTGCCTTTTAGCACCCCTGGAACAGGGCACTCTTACCTTGGGGGGCACTGAGAAGGGGAAATGGCCCTAGAGGATGGTCTGAGTAGCATTGCAGTGTGCTGTCCTTGAAGGTATCGGAATGGTGATCCCTTGGGGGTGTGCAGGGGAGACGGCAAGCATACGTTTGGTGGGGACGCTTGGGTCTTTGTGATTTGTTTTTATATGTTCTTGCATAGTTATTAGTCTACTCAGGTTTTCTTCTTATTCGTGAGTCAGTTTTTGTCTGTATGCTAGTCCAGGAAGTCACGCATTTTGTCAAGATTGTCAAGTGTATTAGCCTCGGATTGCACACGGTTTTCCCTGTTGACGTTTCTATCTCCGCGGTGCCTGGGTTACACCCTTTCTCACATCTACTCCTGTGCATTCATGTTTTCCTTCTTCTTACTCAATTAGTCTTGCCAGAAGTTTGCCTATTTTACTGGTCTTTTTCAAGTTCCTATGCTAGGGCTATCAATTTTATTCTTTCTCTATTATCTAACTTATTGATTTCTGCTTTTATCTGTATCCATTCTTTTCTCCCACTTAACTTAGGCCGATGTTGCTCTTTTGCTGATTTCGTGAAATGAATTAGTTTTATTATTTCTTGTTTGACAATAAAAACATTAAGAGGCATTTTCCCCTAAGTACAGCCCTGACCACATCCCATAAATTTTGATGGCTAGTTGTTATTTTAGAAGGAGTGTCTAATTGCAGTTTTGTTCTTTCTTTGACTCTAGGGTTTTTCCCCTCAAATTTTCAAGAACTATTTGTTTGTACTTAAAAAAATATTATCTAGTTTTATTGCATTATGATCAGATTATGATTTTTACTTTGGAGAATTTGTTGACTTTTTTCCCTCTAAGACCATTTTTTGAAAGTGTTTTGTGAGTATTTGAAAAGAATAGATATTCTGTGGTTGAAGGGTGAAAAAAATTTATGTTATTAATATCATTCAATTTTTCTAATTCTTATTTATTGCCTAATTGATATTTGACAAGATAAGCAATGTATTGGTCTCACATTTTCACTGTAGATTTTATTGATTTTTCCTTTTATTGATAAGTTTTTATTTTATATATTTTGATGCTATACTCTTTGGTGCATAAATATATTTAACTATTAGATCTTCAGAGTAAATCATGTATATTTTTCCATTATACAAATTATGTTTATCCCTCAATGTTTTTTGCCTTAAATTTCACTTTGATACTAATATTGCCACTTTTTTCTTTTAGGTTTGCATTTATTGGGTCCATCTTTGCAAATTTGTGTATTTTTAATATATCTATGTCATTGTTTTAAGGGTAGCTCTTAGTACAACATGCACAATAGCTGATTTTTTTTTTAATCCTAACTGGGAGTCTTTATTTTTTAATAGGAAAGTTTAGTCCACTCATATTTTTTGGTGATAACTGATATATTTGCTCTTCTTTGATACTTAATACTTTCTATTTTTAAGCTTACTTACTGTTATTTCCTTTACTCTGTCTTCAAGTGAACATTTTCTTTGCTTTCTGTGATTTTTATTCTACTAGTGGTTAAAGTTACTTCTTTAGAGCACATTTTAAGCTATATTTCTCTGTCAACCTCCTGCCTATCTAGCATTTTTCTTAACTGGGTCTTACTGGCTCTGTACCTTGTAGAAATTCCTTAGTGTTTGTAGCACATAGATATCTGCCTCTTTTTCTTGGTTTTGAAAGTTGACGTAGCTATTC